AATACAATTTATCATTCTTTTGTGAAAACATAGGCCTTGTTTTCTAGGGAGCACAATTTGGAGGTTCCTCTTTTTTTATGGTGTCAAGGACATACATTCTATTTGTAGTGCAGGATTTCTAATAAAATCTTATTTTAAGGGTACTTTTTCAGGAGAACAGTCCAGTCAGAACAATAGAAACAACACTAGAAATTTAAGTATGAAATAACAGGAAATAATAGGTGACAAAGGTGCTGGAATATCTAGAAAAAAAATGGTGGTGGGGTTTAGGGAGCAAGAAGGTATCATAGAGCTTAGAAAATGAGAGCTTCGAAACTGCTCGGATTCCTGACTTGGAGAACACACCTGATGCTTCATCCGATGTTTCACCATTTGCTGATTCTGGAACACTAAGGATCATTCTGCATAGAAGAGTTCTGCTGCATCTGGACTGTAGAGTCCAGACTTACCTGTTCTTCAGCAACACAACTACCACCACTGGGTATGAACGAGGAACCAGAAGCTTCTCTTTATCTTTCTGATCTTTTGCTAGAAAAAATGGAGCATAGGAAATATAATTTGTAGTCTGCCAGCCCTGGCCACACACAGCAAATATACAGAAGCAAATGAGGAGAAATCCAAAATGTTTCTGTGAAACTTATTCTAAAATTAAACATTTGATTCAAAATACCTTAAACAATAGGACAAGTAATAATGATATTCTCTGCTGGGTGATTTTTTAATTTATTCCAGTGTTTTAGATTAAAAAAAATATCTCCTATATATATAGCAGAATCATTTACTTATAGCTTTTAGTTAAGTCAACAAAGAAGATTTATAGCTTAACTTGGCAGAGGGCACTATACAGAAATGAGAAACTGCCAGAGAAGACAATAAAGAGGTTTAGCCTTTTCATGTACTCAGAATATGAACCTGTCTCTGTTTTAGAGAAGAGCAAAGAATAAGATTTTTATTATAAAAGTCCTCAATTTATTCCAAAGGTGCATGTGGGGATAGTTTTATAAACCACTGAGGATTACTCTTTAAACTATATTTCACACCTGTGCCTTAAGAAAACTCACCTAACTCAGATCATCCTAAAATAATTTACAAAAATCTGTAAATGTATTTATTCACCCAATATTTCTTTTTTAACTCTATAATTTACACTATAAAATACCCATGGCTTATTAAACAAAGTTTCCATAATTATTTCAAACTCTAGTCCATTTTAAAAAGAAGAAATATATTAGGAGCAAAACCTAATGGAAATCTTTTAAAATATTTGTTTTCCTTCACAGTTCTCTGTCTGGAGCCAGGTGCAGTGACACACACCTGTAATCCTAGTGATTCAGGAGGCTGAGGCAGGAGGATTGAAAATTCGAGGCCAGTCTTGGCAACTTAGTGAGGACCTCAACAACTTAGTGGGACCCTGTCTCAAAATTAAAAAAAAAATAATATAAAGGGCTGGGATGTAGCTCAGTGTTTCAGCTTCTGTGTTCAATCCCCAGTACAAAATAAATAAATAAATAAATAAATAAAGTTCTACTATCTGAAACCTTATAAAGAGCAAAGGTAGATTTTCAGAATGACTTACAAGTGATTGCAATGCAATGAAGTGATTTGATTCTCTGGATTCAATCTGGAACCTAGGTAAAAGGTCTCTTTTGGTGTCATAAATACACAATGAAAAGACATATCTGGTCCAATGACACCATCAGCTTCCCCAAATTCAGAGAGTATGTCTCATACATAGACACACATATGCCAAAAATAACCAGTGGCACTGAAGTGGGTATCCTGGAGAA